AAATGATATTTGTATATTGCAAGGTAAGGTTGGAAGTTCTTTCCTTTCATGTGGATGTCTATTTGTTCCAGTAACTTTCGTTAAATGAATATCCTTTCTCCATGGGATTATCTTTGCACCTTTGTTGAAAATCAATTGCCATAAGTGTAAGACTTTATTTTTGGATTCTCATCTCATTCTCTGGTCTATCTACAGATGTCGTTAGGTCATCCATACTGTCTTGATTGCTTTAGCATTATAATAGGACTCAACTCTGATAGTGTGAGCCTTCTAGCTCTGCTCTTCTTTAAGATGGTGTGGGCTTTTTTAGGTCCTCTGAATTTCTTTATAAATTAGAATCAACCTGTCAGCTTATAAAACAAAAAAGACATGAACCAAACTTAGCTGTGGTTTACATGAGAGATCTACAGATTATTTTGGAGACAACTGTTTAACAATATTGTCTTGTAATCCATGAACATGGTATAACTCTCTCTTCATTAGGTCTTGTTATGTCTCTCTCAGTGGTATTTTGTAGTTTTCTGAGTCTCATGTATCTTAAATCTGCCCCTAAGTATTCAATGTTGTAAAAATTCTATTTTTAAATGGCACTGTTTTAAAATTTCAAGTGCTAACTGTCCATTATTAGTACAAAGGAATAGAATTGATTGGGGGGCTTTTTATTCCGTGGCTTTGGTAAAATCACTTAATTAGTTTTAACAGCACTTTGTAGCTTAACATTTTCTACAGACAATAGTGAAACATGCAATTAGAGATCACTTAACATTTCCCTTCCAATGGTTGGGACCTTTTCCTTGCCAAATACACTGGCTGTGTCCTCTGTCTGTGTTCAAATGGAGCAGTGGAGTGCATGTTCTCCCCGTGTTTCTGATGGGGGGGAGAGCCCCTCTCACCATTGTGAGGTTCATTCTTTGTCAGCTTCTATCCCAAGTTCACTGAGACTTTTTCTTTTTCCTTTTTTTTTTTTTCTTTTTGTACCAGGGGTTGAACCCAGGGGCATTTAACCACTGAGCCAAATACCCAGCCCTTTGTTTTTAGGTTTTCTATTTTGAGACAGGGTCTCACTAAACTGCGTTGGGCCTCTCTAAATTGCTGAGGCTGGCTTTGAACTTGTGATCCTCCTGATTCAGCTTCCTGAACCACCAGGTATACAGGTGTGTGCCACTTTGTCCAACTGTCACTGATAGCTCCCCTCCACCCCAACAAATGATCCTGTGTCTTTTTCTGTTCTAGTTTGCTAACAGGTGAATTATATCCATTGATTTTGAAAGAGTAACTGACTTGCCTCAGCCTTCCTGGAAAGAGCTCCCCAGGGTCACATGCACTTTTTTCATATCATGCTGGAATCATGTGCTGATGTGTTGTTAAGGATTTGGGTGTGCAGGCTCATAGAGGTAGTGGACTTCAGGGTTCTTCTCTTGTCCTGCCTTGTGTGGTTTTGGCACAAAGGTTTCATGTCATTGGGAAGTCTCTGTCTACTCTGTGTTCTGACAGTGTTCGTGTGATGGAGTGTTGACCCACCAATGAGTCTCTCATCAGGACTTTCCTCAAGGGACATAGCAATTTTGAACACTAGTCCATGTCTTCTTGCTCAGTAGCACTGGACCCCTCCTGGTTCCTGTCCCCACAATGTGATTGAGAAAGCCACCAAGAACTGTGGCATCCACAGTCTCAAGTGCCTCTTAGTTGCTCTCCCCCAAGTATGTTCCTTCCCAGGCATCTCTGAACCAGACCCAATGGGCCAGGCTGACAGAGCCTGTGCACGAGGGGTTATACTTTTGAAACCAGAGTTTGAGATAAAATTGGATTCTATGCTTCTGCTGGTGGGTGGGGTCTGTGTAAACTACAGGATTCTGCAGGCAAAAAAACCCCTTTATTTTTAGCAGCTAATCACAGCAAGGGATGCCTATTGGTGTCAGCTCTGAGGGTTGTAGCTGACCTAGCTGAATTCTTCCCTAATAGTACGGAGTGGCATGTTACAGCTCTCAGTGCTGCCCCTCTAAATGGTGCCCCCCCCCCGGTGTTGCAATAGACCCCAGAAGCTCACACCAACTTTCTGGGTTGCTGAATCACAAATCTGTAGAATGCAATTCATGGGGAAATGGAAGGCAAGAGTGAAAGAGTGGGATTTATTCAGGAGTGCAGAATAGAAGCAGAATTCTTGCAGGTGCATGAGGGGACTCCCACGGGGGTTGCCACTTGAATGGGCTAGCCTAGGGGTCAACACTATTGGTCCAAATTTATGCTAATGAGGGTTTGGAAAAGTCCAAATCCTATTGGTCAGTCCTTGAGTAAGAACTCCCATTCAAGTCGGCCTACTTCTGTTTTCTTGCCTTTGGTCCAGAAGTGGGAGATTGAAACCCTGTGGTTGTGGATGCTTGGGGGTTCAGAGCTGCAGCACTCTGCAACGTGGGCATCCACGTTGACCTGGGCCAGGCTGCTGTGCTGTAATAGGCAGGCACACTTGGCTTGCCTTGGTCTGGCTTGCCTCAGGTCCGCACTGGCATGGAGGGGTCCCCACAGCTGCATGTCACCTGTGCTCCAGCTGCCGCTCCACAGCTCCAGACAAGGACCTAGTGTCTGTCGTGAAGGGGTTAATTTGCAACAGATACAACAGGACAGTCTCAGTTTGGAACTGACTCCATACAGCCCTGGACCTGGGCAATGCTGGCAGTGGTGACTTGTGGTCAGGCATTACACCAAGGCTGAAGGCTTAAGGCAGACACACAGTGGCAGGAAGAGCCCCAGCTGAGCCCTGGAGACTAGGGTGCAGGCTGCACAAGCAAAGAAAAAACTGAGGAGTGGCCAAGCGGGGAGAAGGGAGCCAGGGAGCTGGGGTGGGGTAGGAACAGGGAGGAAGTGGGGTCTGGAAGGAAAGAATTTTGGTGACCAGATGAGAGTGTTCAACAGGCCAAATACTGCTGAGAGCACAAGAAAATGAGTTTGTAGGCTGAGGAAGCCAAGTGACTTCGACAGCACCAGTTGGCAGGGGGAAGCTACTGACCTCCTGGGAGGCCACCACCAAGACCACTGCCCGGTTTATGGATCACCTACATTCTCTCCTGCACTCCTGCAACTTCCACCAGATGACCTGTCTACCTCCAGCCATACCTCACTGCTGGACAATTTCTTCAGTCCAAAGTCCCATGCACTGTTTATTATTCACCTAAAAATCACCACTGCCCTCACTGGAAGGGCCCATTGCTCATCCTGAGAACCTAACATTTGACACCTGATGAAGCTTAATCCACAACCTCCAAAGACATGCAAGATATGGACAGGACAGGCCTGTGCAGGGGACAGTTGTTCAGGGTTGCCTCTCTTTCTGGGCTGGAAATGTAACAGCCCAGAGTATTCTACTATCCACTGGTCTCTCCAAGGAGCCCTGCGAAGAACTGAGGCTTTCAAGGTCCACTATTGAAACCCCAGGGGTGGGCAGGAGCATGTGGGCAGCTGGCCATCAGCAGAGAGGGCATGCAGTAGAAAGATCTGCCGGTAAAATGTCAGCACTCAGGAATGTGCTGTAGATGGCACCATGGTGGTCAGTGCAGTTCCCCTGGAGGTCCACAGGTCCAGGGACCCCTAACCTGCCCTCAGTTCTCTCCTACCACCTTCTGCTGTACTTCAGGAAACCCAAGTGCTTTTCTGCAAGAAGAGAATCCCTTCAGGTCTGGCTGCCTCTTTGGATCAGCCTGCTGTCCACAAGCCTTCCCCAGGCTTCTCTGGAACTTAGATGCTCGCGTACTCCAGCCTACAGCTCAACCTGAAGAGAGAAAGCTTCAGAGCAAAAGTCTGGGACTTCAAGTGCAGCCTGCTGCTGTGTGACACTGGGTGAGCTCCTTGGCCTGGCGGTCCTGGTCACCACTGCTACACAGGAATTGCTGCCCCCTTATTCCTGTGTGAATAGGAGCCGCGGTGAGGATAGCTTCCAGGCACTGCCTCTGGAGGAGCAAGGTCAGGGCTGGGCATCGCAGTGTACAGCAGTCTTGACTTGAATGCAACACCCCACTCCACACACAACCCGGGACGAAGTGCGGTGCCTCCGCACCCCAACCTGCATGCAGCACTTCCGCCGTGTACAGCAACCCCACCAGAGCTCAGAACCTGGCCTATGTGCAGCACCCCAACCTACATGCAGCGTCTCTGCAGCAAGACCACCGAGTGCAGAACCCTGCACCCAACCTACATGCAACATCCCTGCCGGCTTGCAGCAACTCTGTTCTGCATGCAGGACCCTGGCGAGGAGCGCGGAACTCCTTCGGAAACCCGAGCCAAAGCAGCCACCTGCTCCCACTCCCCACGGGCCCGCTGCCAGCGCGATCCGGGGCTGTGCCTTAAGGGCCGTCTGTGCACAGCCAGAGTACGAGGCCGGGCGGCGGGTTGGAGGTGCCCTGGCCTGGCCTTGCTCCACCTGGTCCCCGCCCCAACCCCGCCTGGTCCTCAGCTTAACTGTTCCAGCCTCCCTCAGCCCAGGCGGAGGCGGGCGAGCAGTTGGTGCGGGCGCTGATTGGGCAGTGACTCTGATTGGCTGTTGCGGGCACCATTAGCCTTGGTCACTACATCCCGCAGCACTCGATCAGACTCGGCTCTGCTCGGCTCGACTCGGCTGCTCGGCTGGGCTCGGCAGAGAGGCTCAGTTCGGCGGCGTGGCTCGGCTGGGCTCGGCTGCTCGGCTGGGCTCGGCTCGGCAGCGCGGCCGCGGACGGGCGTGCGCTGGGGGCGCGGGGCGCGGGGCGCGGGCCTCGGCGGCGGCGGCGGCGGCGGCGGAAGCCTGGTTCCCCCCGCCCGCCCTGTCCTCTCGACGAGGCGGAGGCATCACCCCGGCCGGGCCTCAGACGGGCGCGGCGCGAGCGGCGCGAGCGGCGCGGGGGGCGGCGGGGCGCGGCGGGGGCGCAAAGCAGCGCGGCCCTCCCGGGGGCGCCGCCGGCCGGGTCAGCGCGGACGGCACTCGGCGGACGCGGACGCACGGCTGGCCGGCCCCTCCCTGCCCGCGCCCGGGCGCCCACTCGCCGGCGCGGGGCCCGGGAGCGATGACATCGACGGGGAAGGACGGCGGCGGGGCGCAGCACGCGCAGTATGTGGGGCCCTACCGGCTGGAGAAGACGCTGGGCAAGGGGCAGACAGGTGCGTGCGCGCCGGCGCTGGGGGCGGGCGGGGGGTGCCGGGCGCGGCGCGAGAGGACGCGGGCGATCTAGGGGCGCGAGTGGCCCGGGACGCTGGTCAGGCGGGCTGGCGGGCGGGCGCACCTCCGGGGAGGCCGTGCGGACCCGCCGGGCGGGGCCGAGGAAAGCTGCCTTAGTCGTGATGCTGCAGGCCCGGCCCGAGCCGGCGGCCGTGAACAATGGGCGGCTCGTGCGCCCCCGTCAGCCCTGCGCCTGGGTCCCTCCGCGGAGCCCGGCAGGCCGCGCGGCTGCGGTCGGCCGGGCGCGGCCCAAGGACACGCGGCACGGCCCGGGGCGCACCGCGGTGGGGCGCAAAACACGGCCTGGCAGCGCCCGGCGGCCCCGCTGCAGGTGCGCGGGCCGGGCCGCATTGTGCACCCTAGCGCTGGGGCCCATTGTGCCGCGAGAGGAGGGGGCCGAGCGGGAGCCCATCTGCCGTCTGCCGCGCCGCGCTAATAGGCGTGCTGCTGGAGCAGCTGCGCCCCGGCCGCGCCACCCCGGCGGTCCTGGCCCCCGGAGCCCCACTGGCCAGTCCCGGACCTCCGTTCGCGGAGGGGGTGGGAGAGAGCAAGGACCCGTCAGAGAGCTGGACAGCGCCTTCCTCTTCTCCCAACCTCAGGCCTCCGTGTATGCGACACTGTGCTCCCTAGGGGAGGAAGAGGGTGACTGTTACAGGGCCTGGATCAGTATCCAGGTCTGGCCCCTGGAGCAGACCCAGGGTCTACAGAGGAGGGGACTTTCTGGCTGGTCTTGGTTGTCTTTCCCGTGACAGGTTAGGTCCCCGCAAGGCCCAACCCTGGGCTAGCAGTGTGCACAGCTCCCCTTGCATTTGGCTAACTTTCCAGGCCTGGTTGGGCTTGGCCAGCCCCCTCATCTGGTCAGCCAGGCGCGTTCACACAGTCCTCTTTGTGGGAGGCTGGGACTCAGCCATTTTCTTTCTTCTCCCAGGACCAGCCTATCTCTGGTGGCCCAAAGGTTTAATTGGCACTGACCACTTCTTTTCTTTTTGGAAAGTTCCCCAGAGCCCAGGGATGGAGGATAGCAGGAGGTTGCCCACAAGAGTGGGGGCCCAGGAATCCCTCTGCAAGCACCCCAGGGCCACAGGACGCAGAGCTAGGCAGTTGTGTCTGGGAAGAAAGTGGGCCAGCCTGGGCTCTTGGGGAGGGTGGCAGCCGTGATGTAGCAGAGGCAGGAAGGATCTGGGCTGCTAGGATCTGCCTCCTCTCGCTGAGTCCCAGGGCCCAGCCCAGGGCTTGTGCCTGGACTTGAGGAGGAAGCACAGACAGCTGTGGTTCAGCTGAGTCCAGGAGAGGCACCTTTCCAGGGAAGGACAACTAGTTTGTGACATCCTTGGCGAAGGAAGGGCCCAGGGCAGCCTAGCGCAGGAGGCAGGGAAATGGTCTAATTATCATACCAATAAAATGTCATCACGAGACACCCTCTCTATGCAGCCGATGACAGCGTAGGTTATGTGCAGTGCCTCCGGCCCCTGGGGGCAGGGGCTAGTCTCTCTGCTCCCCACTGGGTTATACTGCCCTACAGTTAAGTATGGGAGGTTCTTCCCATTAGCAGCCATGGCTGTGAAAGGTGTGTGCAGAACTGAGAAGGCAGCCTAAGCAGCCTCTCTGCCCTGCATCCAGGAAGCAGCCTGATCCAGAGTTCTGGTGGCTACAGTGTAAATGTGTAGCCAGGAAGTCCACCACAGCACTTGTCTTCTGTGAGGGGTCATCTTCGTGGATATGGGCCGTGTGTGTGTGTGTGTGTGTGTGTGTGTGTGCTGGGCAGAGTTGCTGTGTTCCAGACCTGCCCTTTACTCCAGAGGGGGACAGACTTCCTGCAGGGAGACCTCAGGGGAGAGTGTGGGCTCTGCCTCTGTCTACCACCGCCTATGGACCTTGTGGTCCTGAGGACTTGTGCTGGGACCTGGGGCAGTTGTTGCTGGGCTGGCAGGGGGAATCCACCAGCAAGGGCTCTGCTGGGCTTTTCCATTATCCAAGAAACTCTTGTTCAGTCACTTATGGGGCTTGGCCCCTGCAGGGACACCAGAACACAGTCCCTGCCACCATGGTACCGGCAGGAGTGGGAGACCCTGCAAGCCTAGGCAGCACCTGCCTAGGTCCTGGAGGGAGCATTGCATGGCCCTCATCCTGCGGGCTCAGTGGTAAACATCAGGCACCTTCCTGCGGAAACCAGAGCTCGGCTTTGGTAGCCCAGGAGGACCCGGGAGGACCCTGTGGGAGGAGGGAGGGGACTGTGGGCCCTGGCTGTTTTTGGAGCCCCGTTGTGCCTAGAGTCCCTTCATCCAGAAGCAGGGGAGGGGAGGAGGTAGTGACAGGGCTCTCAGGGAAGGGTCAGCCATGCCAAGGACTGGGAATGGACATGAAGGCTACCCACCAAGTCCCTGCCGTCCAACTCACCTGCCTCCAGCTTTCCCAGCTTCGGTCACAGCTGGTGGGTGAGGGGACCTGGGACCTCTCTTCCCAAGTGGAACTCTCTGGCAGTTGGTGGCCTGGAGAGGTGTCCAGGGTGGTGAAGCCAGTTAGTTTGGGGCAAGTGATAGACAGAGGGGGGCGAGGGTGAGACTGGTATGAGGGGAACGTGGCAGAACTGAGGATGTCCCTGGAAGTTGCAGGTGCCACCTGGAGGGGAGAAAGCGGCAGAGCTGAGGAAGACACAAAGGGGAAGGAGGTGGGTGCTGGGACCATGTTGGTTTGGTGAAGTGGAGCAAAGGCAGGGAGGGACCCACCTGAGGTGCTGTGTGGTGCTGAGGCCCAAGGGACGTGTGGCTGACTGGACGGGACCTGGTGACCTCTGTGGTGGTATAGGTGACAGAACTCCATTTTGGGGACATAGGTTGCGTCTGGTGGTCACCATGCCACCAGGTGGGCCTTCTGCGAGTCTCACAGGTGATGGTGCAGTCCCCTCCCCCACATCAGACCCTGCTGTCTGACCAGCTATGCCCACAAGGGAACTGGGCCTCAGAACCCAGTCTGCCAGCAAGGACAGTGTTCCTGGGGGGAGGGAAGCCTGGGAGAGGGCTGCCCACACAGGACAGTCGCAGTTGAGTGTTGGGGTGGGCAGCTGTCCCACCTGGCTTCTGTCCTGCTCGGGTCTCCGCCCAGACAGCCCGGGTGCCACCCCAGCCCTCCTCCAGCAGTGCAGACCCTGCCTCAGAGCCCATTCCAGGTTGGGAGCTGGTCTGTGAGGACTGTCCCCAAGGGGACAGCTTGGCCCAGAGGGTCCGACCCACTGAGGCACCTGTATGGTCTGCTGCACTGTCACTGGCACGGTGGGGCGCCTGCAGGGCCAGGGACCACTTGTACTGGAAAGGCGTGCTGGGCAGGAGCCCTGGCCCGGGTGCCCATACTGAGGTGTGTCCTGAAGTGCTGGCTGTGAGTAGGAGTAGGCTCTGCCTGACCCCGTGAGGACACTGGTGTGGCAGGCCCCTGCAGGGCTGCTGTTCCAGGGTGGGCTGTGGCTGGTCTCTGCCCTGATGTCGCCCAGGTGGGGCTGGTCTGGACTGTCGAGCACATGGCCTACACAGCTGCCTGGCTGGCCCTCCCTGCGATGTGAAGCTTGGCCACCCTTCACCAGCCCTCTGGGGAGTCTGTTTCTGACAGATCCTCACCTAGGCTCAGGGGGAGCCCGGCTGGGACCACTGAGGTGCCACTGCGACAGAGCTGCCAGCAGGCTCCTGCGTCCTGCCCCTTCCCTGCCTGCCCGGAGTGCTCACAGGGTGGCCACGTGTTGTGCTGGTTGTCACTGGTGTGTGGACTCCTGATCTACCCCTGTGGCCGGCTCCTGTCCCCAAGCAGCCAGCTCAAGGCCAGCAAGGACGGTGCTTCAGGGCCCTAGGGCTGCCTGCTGCTTGTCCTGCAGCTGGCCCTGGCCTGCTCCTGAGTGTGGGCCCCAGTGGGGTGGGCCCTGTGCCCTACTGTCTGTCCTGGTTTCTCTCCTAGTGTTAGCGGAGTGTCCTGAGTGCAGGGTGGGCAGGCAGCAACAGTGTCCTCTGCTGGCCACGGGCCCCGCCCGGGCTCGGCCCCTTCTCTTCGCAGCAGACGGGCAACACTGAGTGCAGCCCCAGGGGTAGGGAAGTCTGTGGGTGACTCTCCTTGGGCGGTACCTGGGGACAGTGAGGCTGCCTCTGGAGGCCGCACCTCTGTGTGCAGACCCCTGGGGTCGCTGCCGTTTGATGGGTGGTTCTGTCTCACTGGCCTGGCCTCTGTGCATGGTCCTCCTGGGCTCTGGCCACCAGGCAGCAGAGGGGCTTTGAGCCTCAGGACTCCTATCTGTGGAATGGGTTTCCATGGAACTTTTGTGAGGCTCCAAGGCTGGATGGTGCCTGGGCCAGGCACAACTGTTGTGTGGTAGTGGGCAGCAGGGGCATCTGTCAGGGGCTGCTGGCCGTCTCTCATGTTGTCCTGTACTCTGCAGGGAGTTGAGGGTGCCAGAATGTCCTGGTGCCTGCAGGTGGTGGGGTCAGGGGTAGGCCTCCGTGTGCTTGGCTCTAGGCCCAGGTTCCAGCCCAAGGTGGCCAAGCTGCCCGCAGGCCTCCCCAAGGCCTCACCCCAGGAAAGCCGGCTGGTTAGGCTGACCTGGGCTCTGGACAGGATGGAGGCTGGGCTGGGACTGAGGCTCCAGGGACAAAGCAGAGATTGTGCCAGGCTGGCCGCCTCTCAGAGCCCAGCCTGCTCCGTCCAGGCCTTGTTCCACCACTTCTGAGGGGCCAGTGTTCCGGAGCCCAGCAGCTGGGAGTCAAGCCCCGCCTGTAGGACAGTGTCCCCCGTCCAGCCTTTAAAGAGAAACCTCTTCTTTCTGTGGCCTCTGGTGTCCTGGCCGGAGGTTGGGTCTAGAATTCCTCCCTGAACCAGGGTGGTGAGGGCACCTCCCTGGCAGAACATGAGGGTCTCGTAGGTTGATGTGTGTAGAGTCTGGTGGCACTTGTCCTCAGGCTAAGATCAG